GTGCTGGTCGACTGGGACCCGGTCCAGAATTCGTCAGCCGACAGGCCGGGGAGCGCAGAACCGCCACCGTCGTTTCATGATCGTCGTCGTCTTCGTCATTATGCTCGCTATTGTTCGTGCTCGTGCTCGTGCTTTTTCTCGTTCTCGTCGTCGTCGTCGGCCTTGTCGTCGTCGTCGTCGTCGTTCTCTCGTCCTCGTCCTCGCTGTCCTTGTCGTCGGCCTCCTGCTTTCTTCCCACCTGTTCTCCCCCTCCGGTGAGCTGGCGAGCTGGTGCATCACAACCACGCGTGCACAACTGCGAAAAGAAAATCAAGAGGTGCGAAGCAAGCCATCCGGAATTGGCTGCCGAGACATGCGGGCAGGACAGAAGATTACAAAAGTAGTCGGTCGTTGCTCTATGAATCCGGACTTGACCCTCAGTCAGCCCCCCCCGGCTACCCTACGATCATCCTCCTACCGCAGGTTTGCTCTCCTCCTCCTCCTCGTCCTCCTCCTCCTCCATTCTCCTCCGTCGTCGTTTTGGCTCAAGATGTGGGCTCCTTGAGGGGACAGCGCGCGTCCGCTGGTCCGCGGTTCGTTTTCTGTTTTCCCCAACCATCTTGTGCCCCGCGTTCTCCTCCTCTCTTCCTCCTCCCTCCTCGCACCATCATAATCATCGTGGTCGTCGTCGTCGTCGTCACTACCATCGTCAGCATCGTCATACCCATTATCGTCATCATCATCATCATCATCATCATCATCATCATCATCATCATCATCATCATCATCACCATCATCGTCATCATCATCGCCGTCAGCATCATCATCATCGCCATCAGCTTTGGCACACCTCTCACGCGATTCGTGGCCCCTCAGGGAAGTCCACCGAAGGCCCCAGTGGTGGTGTCCACATGCGCCCGCGCCACCAATGTCGGATCCGTTCGGCGCACTAATCACACGCTTTGTGGCCCCATACGGATCGCCACCGAAGAAGACATCTACATCTGCGGTGCTCACAACTTGAGCCCCGGCCGCGCCATTTACTTCGGCACACCATTCACGCGTTTTGTTGCCCCATTAGGATATCCACCGAAGGCCCCAGTGGCGGTGTCCACATGCGTCCGCGCCACCCATGTCCGCACACCCCTCTCACGTTTCGTGGCCCTATCTGGGAGCTCCACCGAAGACCCCAGTGGCGGTGTCCACATGCGTCCGCGCCACCCATGTCAGCACGCCCCTGACCCGTGTTGTGGCCCCATTGGGAGCTCCACCGAAGGCCCCAGCGGCGGTTTCCACGCGCGTCCGCGCCACCGATTTCGGCACGCCCCTCACACGCTCTGTGGCCCTGAAGGGAGCCCCACCGAAGGCTCCAGTGGCGGTGTCCACATGCGTCCGCGCCATAGATTTCAGGACATCTCTCATTCCGTAGACCCATATAGAGTTCCACCGAAGGCCCCAGAAGCGGTGTCTACACGCTTCCGCGCTACCCTATTCGACGCACCCCTCACACGCTTCGTGGCCCCATATAAGAGCCCCACCGATAGCCCCAGTGGCGGTATCCACATGCTTCCGCGCCACCGATTTCGGCACACCCGTCACACGCTTCGTTGCCCCATAAGGGGGCTCCACCGATAGCCCCAGTAGCGGTGTTTACACGCGTCCGCGCCACCCATAGCCGCACACCCTTCACACATTTCGTGGCCCCATAGGGAAGCCCACCGAAGGCACCAATGGCGGTGTCCACATGCGTCCGGGCCACCGTTTTTGGCACACCTTTCACGCGCTCTGTGGCCCTGAAGGGAACCCCATCTGGCGGCGTCCACATGCGTTCGCGCCACCAATGTTTGCACACCCTTCACACGCTTTGTGGCCCCATGGGGTCTCCCCCCACGGCCCTAGCCGCGGTGTCCACATGCGTCCGCGCCACCAATTTCGGCACACCCTTCACACGCTTCGTGGCCCCATAGGGAGCTCCACCGAAGACCCCATTCGCGGTGTCCACACGCGTCCGCGCCACCCATATCGGCACATCCGTCACACGCTTCGCGGCCCCTCGGGGAGCTCCACCGAAGGCCCCAGCGGCGGTGCCCACATGCGTCCGCGCCGCCCATGTCGGCACACCCCTCGCACGCTTCGTGGGCCCATGGGGAGCTCCGTCGAAGGCCCCAGCGGCGGTGTCCACATGCGTCCGCGCCACCAATTTCGGATTAGTTCGGCCCACCCCTCATACGCTTCGTGGCCCCGAAAAAACCGAACATGTTTTGAATTGCGGTACTCGCAACTGTATATGGTTGGGTTCTTCGCCCGCAGTGCAGGATGTCAGAGCTCTCCACGCTTTGTTTTTTGTCTCAAGTGTTCCTTGTGCACTCCAGGTTTCGGAGTCGGCCTGCTGGCTGGCATCGTTTTCGCGACGGGGTTGTAGGCTTGAAGTTGTGCTGCGCAGCCAAGATGCCTGATGGTGCCCTTCGCAGGAATCTGATCGTTCCTCATAAACCACCTTCATCGCTCCCCCCGGTGAAGTTATACTTGGTTGTTCTGTTGCTACGATTGATGACGATGCGCATTTATGGTCTGAGCGCCCAGCCGCGAGCGCGAGTGGAAAATGCGATCGGGAAGACTGACGCGGCAACAGTGTCAAGGAGGACCGCTAAGATGCTTTTGCCACCTCTGCCAGGGACGCCGCCGCCTTTGTGGCCGCCCCTACCGAACTGCCAACCGAGCAGCTCAATGACGCCGCCGCGAGCGCCCCTGCCAACGCGGCTGCTGCCGCCCCCGCCTGCAGTGGACCGCGAATCTTTGACGTGGAAGAGCGCCTTCAGACACGCGTGCGCGACCTTGGGCGCGCGCGTGAGGAACGCGCCGCCAAGTCGCAGACACGCGCTGCAATTCCCCTGCCCGGCGCGCCCCCCCCCCCCGCCGCCCAAGTCCGGCGACCGCGCCTCCGAGCGCGATGGGCGCCGCCATCCTCGCGGCTGCGTCCCCGGAAGAGTAAGCGCCAGGGAGCCCGTGGGAGCGCGGCTCAAATCGGCTGGCTTCGAGGGAACGTTCACCGCCGAGTCCGCCGAGCAGCAGTCCAAGCATTGTATGTTCTAGTTCGCGGTTCTACTGCTGGAAGTCTCAGCGAGCTGCGGGCGCGCTTCGAGTGGGCGAGGGCTGGCGCGGCGCCCGCGGTGGAAGGGGCCGTCTGCGCGGTCGCACGCTGGCCTCAGCGAGCGCAGTGCGTCGACCAGTTGCGGGGCGATTGTGGCGACGAGAGAGTTTGCAATTGAAGCGGTAGCTGGGGTCCGGTAAGTTGGAAGCCTCTCTGTCGTGTGTCTCCAAATGCCGCCAGGGAACTACGTCGGTCTACTGTAGCGGAGCGGGCCTGGCTCAAGAGCAACCGCCCAGCAGGTGGACCCGGCGGCGCTCGCATCCGCCATCTCCCCGGACGACAAGCCAGGGTGGTGTCTCTGACAATTGTGATCATCTTCGGCACAGCTCGCCCCTGGGATCGCTGCCAGAACCTTGTTTGAGCATCGGATATTTGATGGCGGCGCGTGGAGCGCGAGGGCGTTGCCCAGGTGGCGTGGAACGATGGCGCTGGAAACCGCGAACTGCCTCGGGCCAGGCAATGCGGGTCGAACCTTTCGCGAGCGGCGCACCAATCCAGGGATGAGGTCAGCGCTCGCTCCCAAGGGTTCGCCTGACTTCGTGGCCACGCGGACATGCGCGTCTCGCAGCGCGGCTTGCGCGGCCGCAGCATCGCCGCTTTGCCGCCGCGGCTGCGTCGCGAAACGAGGTGCTCGGAGCCGCGGCGAATGCGGGCAGGGTCGAGCTGCGCCATTGCAACGCTCGCAGAAGCGAACTCATGCGCAGGCAGGGTGGAACGGTTCTGGCAAGATCCTTGGCGTCGCAACCTGACCGCGGCTGGGAACGCGAGTTCCGCTGCGATCCGCAAGTTTGATCTGCTGCAGCCGCGGGGGAGACGCCCCCTCACCGAGCGCAGCTCGGCGACTCCGTCTACTTCGCTGCCAAGCGAAAGGAGGCCATAGATTTGGTGGTTGCGTCTCGGCGGACGTCCCGACGCATTTCTGCGCTGGCGCTTGCGGTTTCTTCTCTCTGGATCGCGTTCGGGCTCGGGCGTCGCGTCAATTTTTGCGCGGGGGGTGCAGTCGTGGATTCGCCCGGGGCGCGGTGCGATACGGCGATTTCTGATCGCGCCGCTTCGAGGATTGCTCCTCAGGGCAGGATTTTGCGGGCTAGCGAGGGCCCTGCTTTGCCGCCGCCTGCGTTCGGAAAGGCCCGGCTTCGCGACTGCGTTCTTCGCGAATCTTCATCTTCGGCCCCGTTCAAAGAGCCCCGCGCTGAGGCCCCCCGCGTCGCTGTAGTGGAAATGCCCGCCGTCGACACCGACGGCGTTGCAGCCCGGTCGGTCTTGGCCAGGCGAGCCGCGAGGGCAGCGTCGGAACGCGCCGCCGAGCTGCGAGCTGGCGACCCGCATCCTCCCGCGACCTCCGCGGCAACAGCCCCCCCGTCGCAGCATTTGGCGGGGCGGCGGTGGCCGCTGGTCACAGAACTGTTTTGCGTGTGTGTGTGGTTGTTGTTATTGTTGTTGTTGTTGTTGTTGTTGTTGTTGTTGTTGTTGTTGTTGTTGTTGTTGTTGTTGTTGTTGTTGTTGTTGTTGTTGAACATTATTAATTCTAAAGAATAATTATTGTTGGGCCCTGGTGCACGCCCCCCCCGCGCCGCCTAGGCCGCAGCTACATTTTCATCATTTTCGTGAGGAAGCCTCAGGTAATTCGATGTGATCAAGATCCGGTTGTTTTGTTCCCCCCCGCTTTCCCTTGCAAAAAACACTATAAAATGACATTTCTTGTTCTAATATAATCAAATTTCAAGAATCCCTTGCAAAAAATAAGGTAAAGTGGACATTCGCGCGCGCAAGACGAAATCCTTCCAAAAGCTTAGTGTTCGGAGCGATTTTAACATAAAAACATCAAAAAACCAATGGTTTTTCAACAAAAAAAATGTCAAAATCTCATCCCGCGCGCTCTTGCGGATTCGTAGGAAACCCAACACTTTTTCA